CTCCATTTCACGCCCCGTCACGTAGACTATAATTTGCAGAGGTCATGACTAAGTTTTATTTTCACAGAGGGTTATAACCCCCTACAAGAAATAACACGTCATTCGGGAGCTGAAATGTTTTTTTTACTGAATATGGCCCTCTTCTCCTATTTCTACCTCGTTTTGAACTTCAATCACCTCACCGCAAGTAATGAGGCGGCAGGGGTACCGTTCGGATGTCAGGAACGGTATAGTCCATCTGCACTGAATTAGAGGAAAATGTTGGAGAAACATTGGGAGCGGAAGCTGTGAGCCTGAAATAAGAAACTTCTGAAGCAAAAAAATTTTCGGAATCAAATAGGGTCCCTGCTTTTGGGAGTTTCGCGCAGTTCCTGTGCTGGGTGACACTTCTGCAAAATATGACCCTCCCCCACCCCCCGAATTCGTCCTTTGTTACGTCCATCCTCCCCATTCCTTTCTATTACCATTTTACTGACGCGACTTTTTGCCTCATTTTCCGGCCTTTCCAAAAAAGTTCCCCCCTCAAGAAACTGACGTCAAACTATTATATAGCGCATGTGAAACGGGAGAGACCGCGAAGGGTCAACAACCGAGGGGGGGGGCATTTTCACTGCTTCACTACTTCCGGTTTACAAGTCTCACTCTGGTGAAACTTGTGAACTCTTGTGAAGCTGGAGCAAGCTCGTCTAGCCACCATGGTTAAACGTGTCAACTCAAGAAAGGCTACTTAGATGGAGTCGACCCACCCATCAATATAAAGCAAAATGGCCTTCCCTCCCCACCCCCCGTCGTTGAATTACGCCAGGAATTTCTTTGGGCTGGGTAAGATTCCCACCTCCTCGTGAAAACAGCAGAATCAACAAGATTTTTTTCTGCAGGCTACGAACCGAACCTCCTCCAGCGATCAGGTTCCCCCTTCCCGCTCCCACTCCCTCCCCCCCCACCCCCCTGGAGATTCCCGTGTTTACCGGTCGCCGGCGTGCCTGTATCAGATTTGGAGTTGAAAAAATACTACTCATAGCTACGCCGCGCCAGAAACAGGTGGACAAAGTATTTCTACAAATAACTTTCTCAGCTGGATAATAGACAACTCGTGAGGACCCGAAATTCTTCGCGAAGGGCTGGATGGCCGAACGTTCTTTGAGCCTTTGAGAGTTTCTTGCAAGACTTTGGTGCTCAGCCCTTTATGAAGCCAGGAAAAAGACGCGTGGTCTGGGTACGGGCTAGCGGGCCGATGTTCTGGAAAGAGCAGCTTCACAAAGGGGACCATATTCGCTTCGTTTGCACCGCCCTATTCTTTTTGGAATGAAAATGCTGTAGTATATGTAAGAGTTAACTAGCTGGAAGGTCTATGTACACCAGGCCATTTCTGCGCACAAAATGAGTACGGGTCCGGAGATCGCCATAACTCAGATCTCCTGACCCGTACCCAGGAGATGGGCAAGAGAATCGTAATTCGCCGCTCGCCGCGCGCGGCGATGGGCGCGGCGTTTTCTTAACTCGTGTTAACCTGTCGACTGGAGCACCGGACTTCATGTAGACCCCGTCATCGTAGACATTCATGACTATTTTCGGTTCTGAATTGCCTGTTGTCGCCATCTACTACCTGGAACCATCGTCATTTGCGGGCGCGACGTCGCACGCGACGCCCACCAGCGCGGTGAATTACGATTCTCTTGTCACATACCCCCCTACCCTTTTGTTCCTATCCTAACTCATCGGCATCAATTGCAGTGAGCCACCTCCTATGCCAAAAACTTCGCTGCCATGGAGGAAGGAGGCTGCCGATCTGTGCAATAATGCGGTAAACTTTCTTTCCATCCTTTTAACTTACTGTAAGTAATCATAGGGTAATATACTTTATAGGACGAGCAGATAAGTGATTTGCAGAAGCCATCTGGAAAGAAAATTCCCGAACCGATTCGGATTGTGGACGAGCCGAAACGGGTACCTGATCCAATCCGTATTGACAGCGTGGACAACGAGGCACCTGAGGAGGAAAACATACGCAATGTAGTTTTTCCCATCTGAGAAACTCCCAGAAGCTTAAGCATCGGAAAAAAATAACAGATGCTGTTCCAGGTCAAAGCTCCACCTCCTTCCTTCCCGACGATTTTCTCACCTACAGAGACAAAAACGATGGAGTTCCCAGATCCTGTGAAGGAACCGGAGCCAGAGAAAGCTGCACCACCACCTAGAGCTAAGGTGAGCTATATCTGGATGGAAGTTCTGGGCCATATATGGACTGTCTACCTTTACAGATCGAGCGTGACGATGGTGGAGGCGGTTTCGCTGCCCTGCTTCAGAAGCGAGCCGCGAAATCAGCTGAGGCTAATCGTAACGTTTTTGCACAGAAAGAGAGCGAAGCTGATATCCAGTGGAAGAAGGTACTCAATTGGAGGAAGTTTGTTCTTCCTTGAAATCCTGCACTTAGACGAATCCCTCTTTAGGCAGCGGAGAACTTGAAATCACGGCCGTTGATCATCAACGATTTGGACTTCAGCGAGTTTCATGCCGAAGAATTTGAGCAGGATCCGTTGGTTATGGCACGGCTCGCCCAAATGGCGCAAGACAAAGGAATGCTGCCTGGAGGTCGAATGAATGGCGGTCCACCACCACCGCCGCCCATGGGATCTATTCCTTTGCCGCCGAGATGTAAGCTTTTTTCTTGTAAATATTTTTTGTCTAATTTTGCAGGAAAATTTTTTCAGTTTCATGCTTTTCTCTTTCTACAATCTTGGCATAGTGTTTTTACTTGTTTTTTACTCGTATTGTTTGTTTTTAGAGATATTCCCTTTCCCCCAATCCTTTCCTTGTTTCTTTTTCATCCATTCTTTCAGCCCAGACGGGCAAATGGTGGCATTTTGCACTTTTGCACAGGATTTCACGGGTATGTGACAAGAGAATCGTAATTCACCGCGCTGGTGGGCGTCGCGTGCGACGTCGCGCCCGCAAATGACGATGGTTCCAGGTAGTAGATGGCGACAACAGGCAATTAGAACCGAAAATAGTCATGAATGTCTACGATGACGGGGTCTACATGAAGTCCGGTGCTCCAATCGACATGGAGGGGGGGGGTTAAACGAATTAAGAAAACGCCGGCAACATCGCGCGCGCGGCTGAGCGGCAAATTACGGTTCTCTTGCCCGTCCCCCGGATTTCACAGGCCTTCGCTTGACGGCTCGACACGTCGATGGAAACTAGTAAATGTGGCCACGTGACCCTTCCCCCTCTCTCCCCACCCCGTCGCAAATGCACTCAACTCCTCTCATTCCTTTTCCATCCTAATCTGTCAGGGACATCAAAGTTCTACCTGGCGTACCTTCTCATCGGTGCGTCTCGTTCTCCTACATATGCTGCTCATCCAGCATGATCCGATATCTCCGCCTTTCGCGTCTGGCTTCTCACTATGCGCCAATCCAATTTTGGGCTGGCGTTAATAACCGGGGGGGGGGCGCACCCTGTTATTGCTTGTCACTGCATGTCCCTTTCTCTGCATGTCTGCTCATCCACATGTCCTTTATCTCTCTCGCTTTCGCTGTCTGCCTTTCACTGTGTCTACTGCATAGACTCTCCCACGAGCGTTCTATTTACGTGTGCTCAGCAATCCTTATTATCCTTGGTCTATATTTGTAATGTTACGATTTACTGATAGTTTCTTGTCTTTTAAATAATATTTGTTGAATCAGCATTGGGCGTTAATAACTCGGGGGGGGGCTGTATTGCTTCTCAGCATATCAACAACTAACGGTACTTATTCCGGGGGGCTGGGAGGGGTACGGGCGGGATATGTGAATATTGAGCAACCTTGTCAACATCCTGTGAGCCTTGTTATGACCTGTCAAGCACCCTCTTAACTCATGCCAAACCTATCAAAGTGACTGGTCAAGATTTGAAAAAATTAGAGAAATAGCGCTTCAAATGACGTCGTACACCTTTCGCCCACTTGGCCAGGGAGTTTACCAGGATTTGCAGGGAGAGACGCGATTGGTAAAAGCTAAATTAGAAAAAAAAAACGAACAAGACACCCGAAAAGGGACGTCTCAAGAGAATCGTAAGTTTGCCCAGCTCCGGGCGCGGCGCGGCCATCGGCGCGGCATTTTCTTAACTCGTGTTGAGGTCGGGTGATTGTACGTGTCGACTGGGACCAAGCCGCAGTTGCAGGACCCCGTCATCGTATGACATTCAGCGCTATTTCCGGTTTCTGAATTGCGCTGTTGTCTGCCATTTGTTACCTGAAACATGCGACACTTGCAGTTGCCGAGCGTCCACGGCAGACGGCCCCTACCAGGGCGCGGTGAATTGCGATTCTCTTGTCATACCTATCTGTAAAAGCTTACAAATCTGCTCCCTTCAAGGTTCATCCGACGCCTATTCTTTATGCTTCTTGACATTTTTTTTTCAAGAAGTGTTGTTCAGTCCGCAAGGGTCAAGGAGGTGGGGATTTCCAAACCGCTGCCGACCTCCCCTGCGCGGTGGGTTCCTCCGCCTCCGCCAGCGAACTTTCAAAACGAGAAACGGTCCAGCGTTTAGGATGTTATTGTTTCTTCACTGAGTGATTCGGCTGAACCGGTCTGACCCTATCGAGCCCAACAGACACACATGTCCAATGTGTACTGCATTCCAGGCCCTCCTCAGGAACAGCAAAGAGGTGTCTTGAGTGTCGCATTGGAAGCCAACCTGCGGCTCTGAACCGCATCTCGGTGCCCGTCTCTCAAAGCAAAAAGGCTCGTTCGTGGAACAATTGACGTTGACCGTGCCGCAAATCGACGCCAACAAGTTGGTGCACGCTTTTTGAGGCTAAGGCACAGAGGCAGAGAAGTCGGCTGGCAAGGCTGGCTGATGGGGTGCGCTTTTTGAGCTGACGCATGTTGGCTTACGCCTACTTGATTCTCAAAATTCACAAGCGGATATTCAGCGGGGAACAAGGCCAGGCGTCGTACACGTTGACGAAGGGGAGGATCCCCAGCCATAGGCTGATCCTTTTCCCAAGATACGACTTTCATGTCGTACTCGGGAAAAAGTAGTAAGAAAATTACCAGGGAATTCTGGAAAAGCTGGAAAATAAGGTAGGAAGTTGGGAAAATTTAAGAAAATGGTTGGGGATGAAAAGGATCGAGAGAAGACGAGTTGGAAAAATTTAAGAAAAGGTGGGGATGAAAAGGATGGAGAAGAGAGTCGTATTTTCCTCCCGTTTCACATGTGCTATACATCCCCTCTCCCACCGCTCGACAGCTCGATGAGGTAGGAACTAGGGGAGGCGTTTCAAGCCACGTTCTAAAAGGGTGGGGGTGTCGTACGGACTCGACCAAACCCGAACTAATGATGTGCACTGAGTGGTAGGGAATAGGGAAAATAGGAGTGGGAAGTGTGTCGTGATGGTACCAGAGCAGGACACTTCGTGAGGAGGGGGACAAGACAATCGTAATTTGTCGCGTCGCCGCTCGCGGCGTACGGTGCAGTCATGCGCTACAGTTCCTCAATGTGCATCCGTCGATGGGCAAGGAAACTCACCTAAATTCAAGCAAATACAAGGCTTCATGACGGGCGATGTAGAATTATTCCTTCCCTATAACAACCACATTCAACTTGCCAGGCGTGGCTACTCGTCTGTTGGTCGCGACGTCGCTCGCCACGCCCATCAGCGCGGCATAACACGATTGTCTTTCCACATACCCGGACATTTTGGGGAGGGGGGAGGGTCGTATTTTGCAAAAATTGACCCCAACGGCAGTGCGTGCTTGCTGCTTGCATTGCTTCGATACCGGACAGTTATAAAACTCGACGCGCTGATTATTCCTTTTCGGTTGCGCCATGCATCTGACTGCTCCCGATCTAATTTTTGCACTGGTTACACTATTTTTTTGCATTATTATTGTTACATCTATTTACATCTATTTTTTTGCATTCTGCAGTGTTTTGTCTTCAGAAACCCGTTGATGCAAAGCCAGCAGTGCTACAAGTGTTATCAATGAAACGATCGCAAGCAATCAGTATCGTTCTGACGAAACTGCCCCCGATCAACGTCATCCCTACAGCTATTATGGTGAGACTTCATAGATGTCCCCCATGAGCTACAGTATCTATGAAAGCTTCTAGAAATTCGATTCAATGGTGCTGAATAAGGATGGAATCGAGAAGATACTGAAGACGATGATGCCCACGGCAAAAGAAGTCGAAGAAATTCAAGAGAAGCAGCTGGAGAATCCTGACATGCAACTGGTAAGTGAGCCAACTTCTCGCCCATCACCTTGAATTGAAATAGTTTTGTTGTAGTTCTCATGAAACTGGGTTCGGCAGCGTAAGCTGTACCCAGTCAGAAGTTTTTTCACGCGCTAACTGCGAAAATGTTTGTATTCAAATTACAGTAACTCTGGAATCCTTTGTAACAAAAAAGGCTCACCTGAGATTTGCAGCTTCAGCACAAGATAAACAAGATCGCAGGAAAGGGACTAGGGAAAGTGCAGAATGCCCCTTCCCCCCTCTAAGCCGAACAGCTGACATCAAAAAGAGGTCGTGCGGCACTTGTTAACGCTATACGCCGCCGAATTTGCTACCTAGCGAGTGATCTTCAAAAAACTCCGCACTTTTCTGGTGGCGCTAGATCGCGCGCGGTGTGATGCAAAGTTGAGTGGCGCACAAACGAGCCTGAGGTTCACCTGTTCACTATTACCTGAACTGCAGGGAGCTCCAGGTGAGGCTATAAACTCCTGTCGTTCTTTTGTAAGCGCAAGGCACGTCGTGCGTTAGAGGGATGGGGGAGATTGTATTTGCTCCTGTTGAAACTTTTTTCGATGCTGACTTTTCTCAGTTTTTGCCGACCAAGTGCGCTATAAATCTCTCCTTTCCCCTCCCTCTCGACGGTAGTTTTTAGAGAAAAACTCCGGAAAAAAGGTAAGGATTAAGGAGATTTCAGGGAGATTGGCGGGAAGAGTAGGGGAGGGAGCGTCCAAGAGGAGTAGAGAGGGGCATTTAAGCAAGCATTTCCCACCACGGCAGAAGGGGGTGTCCTGCTTCCGAATCTTGGTAGACTGACTGGTAGCCCTTTCTCAGTTCTTATTCCAAGAAGGCTTATTAGGTGCAGTTCATCTAGCCGGCGACAGAGAACTCATTGACGCGCCCTCCTCTTTACAGCTTCAGAAGGGGTGGCGCTTCAGCAGGAGGACACATTAGTACTGTGTCTCCGCCCATACGGTCAACGTGGAATTTATCTTCATCTATAAAAGTCACTTCTTTTCAAGGGAATTCCTGAGCAGTTCGTACTGATGCTATCGAAAATCCCATGTCTTCTGGAACGCTTGAAACTGTGGATTTTCACGCTGGACTACAAGACGATGGAAAA